ATCTCAAAAGAAGCATCAAGCAAGCTTCGCTTTACGTAGGATGCAGCAGAGCAACCAGCGCATCGGGTCTTTTCCTTTTAGGAGACTTTGTTCCTCTAACTAGATTTGGAGCTACAAATGTCCAAGAAGAACTTCAATGTTAAAGAGGGGTAAAGGCTATGAGTACGCAATTTGATTTTTTGGTCAATAGAACTGATATCATCTAATGATATTACCACAATGTTGAGTAACTTCGTGCTAATCACAAAGAAATTGCTAACCACAATATTAATTGTTCCGCAAACCTTTTATGTTTTGTTGAATCCAGGACTCTTCCACATGAAGAACATAATATAAGGGATTTTGACATTATTGTTCGAAACAAAGAAATAAGCCCGATGAGCACATACCAATCGATTGCATTTAAATTTCTTCCTATTACTTGATTTCGAAATAAAATGTAAGCTGACGGCAAAATAGAGTGGTAATATTAGGAGATTTTATTGCTTGCAGATCCTTAAGAACTGATTTTCTGGAGGCAATTTTAAACGCGTAATACCTTTTTGGAACAAACAGCTCTCCAACAAAAAAACACCTCACGCAGATTGATTTGATATTCACCGATGCTCGAATTCCGGAAACTCTCGCCCTACTTATGGGATTCTATATAGTCATCATGATAGAATTGTTCTTAGATATGCTCGTAAAAATTATAACTATTATATAATATAAATTGTAAAAAGATAATTTTATTTATATTCTAATTGTATTTATCTTTATTTTTAAATCAAATATAGTTTCCCCTTCGTGGATTGAGTCCTTGTCGTGGTGTGGGGGCTGAGTACGTGAATTTCGAAATAAAAATCACTGAAACGACAAAAATCCTCTAAAATTAAATAGGTTCGGCAAGCCAAAGTTGATATACCCTTGCTTGCTGATACAAAATGTTCTATGTTTCGATTTCGATACCTAATAAAAATAATTATCGATTTTTCAATAAATGTTTCGATTGTTCCTATATCAACCATATGATAGTAGCACGATTTTTTAAAAAGTAAAACCTTAATTATGAAACCAAATATGGGTATTTGTAAAAAAAAAAACGGGGTTATAATTATACCCTTGCAGAGGGTATTATAATTTTGGTCAGAAGTTTGTAACGCAATGAAGGAGACGTTTCCGACCCTATAAAGTATATATATTCTTGATCAGGATCAATAGGGGAGTCGATATAGCCATGTCCGTCTGTCCGTCTGTCCGTCCGTCCGTCTGTCCGTCTGTTTCAATACCGTTTGCGAGCTCAGTTTAAAAGCTAGCGATCTGAAACTTTCACAGTCGTCCCAAAACAAGTGTACGCAGATCAAGTTTGAAACCGCGATCGGATGTCTATATCCTATAGCTCCCATAGGAACAATCGGATATAACTTGCAAGAATGAAAGATATTTCGCGCAGTGTAAAAGCTATTGACATAAATCTTTCCAAATCTTATTTTTTTATGCGTACCTTGATCAGGGTAAAAGCGCGTGACGATCGGACGTCTATATCTTAAAGGATATAGGAAAAATTGTTAAAGGCTGCGAAAGTATACATTTTTTTCTATTTTTATATGACATTTTTGCAGTATAAAAGCAATTGACTTGAAACGATGCAAATCTAGTTTACTTATGTATACCTTATTCCTTTCGCTACTTATTCACTTTTAGCAATTTCGGCAAAGTCTGCAAGGGTATTAAAACTTCGGCTTGCCGAAGTTAGCTTCCGTCCTCGTTTTTTTTAGATTTTTCCCGAATTTTCGTATGGCAGCGAATAAAAACTAAAACAAGAACGGAAAGCTAACTTCGAGCGGAGCCGAAGTTGATATACCCTTGCAGAATACTCTGTAAATTATATTCTCCAAAATTATTCATATGATGCATTCTTAATACTCATAAGAAATCCCAACTTCCTAACTTTAAAAACAGCAAAGTTATGGCATTTCCAATCGTTCAGTTATATGGCAGCTATAGGATATAGTCGGCCGATCCTTATGAAATTTAGTAGGTTTTATTGATTGGCCAAAAATAAAACCCATAAAAAATCACAACTTCCTAACTTAACAAACACCAAAGTTATGGCATTTCCGATTAATCAGTTATATGGCGGCTATAGGATATAGTCGTCCGGTCCTTATGAAATTTGGTAGGTCGGATTGTTTGGCCGAATATAAAACCCGTAGAAAATCCCAACTTCCTAACTTTACAAACACCAAAGTTATGGCATTTCCGATCAATCAGTTATGTGGCAGCTATAGGATATAGTCGTCCGATCCCGGCCGTTCCGACTTATATACTGCGTGCAAAGGAAAGAAGGGTGTTTGCAAAGTTTCAATTCGATAGCTTTAAAACTGAGAGACTAGTTTGCGTAGAAACAGACAGACGGACAGACTGACAGACGGACAGACGGACAGACGGACATGGCTATATCAACTCAGGAGGTGATCCTGATCAAGAATATATATACTTTATAGGGTCGGAGATGTCTCCTTCACTGCGTTGCACACTTTTGACCAAAATTACAATACCCTCTGCAAGGGTATAAACATATAGTAAAACAAGAAAGGAAAGCTAACTTCGGGTGGAGCCGAAGTTGATATACCCTTGCAGAATATTCTGTAAATTGGTTGTCCAAAAATAAAACCCATACAAAATCCCAACGTCCTAACTTTAAAAACACCAAAGTTATGGCATTTCCGATTGTTCAGTTATATGGCAGCTATAAGATATAGTCGGCCGATCCCGTCCGTTCCGTTTTATATACTGCGTGTGTAAAGTTTCAATTCGATATCTTTAAAATTGAGAGACTAGTTCGCATAGAACACTAGTTCAGACAGACGGACATGCTTATATCAACAGACGGACATGCTTATATCAACTCAGGACGAGATCCTGATCAAATATATATATACTTTATAGGGTCGGAGATGTCTCCTTCACTGCTTTGCACACTTTTGACCAAAATTATAATACCCTATGCAAGGGTATAAAAAAGAAACAAATGCTTGTAAAGCTTACGGAATTGTTTTGGATCCTTTTACTCTACGAGTAATAATTAATTCTTAATTAATAGTAAAAATTAACTCCCTCAAATTCAAATTAATTTGTTTAATTCTTTCAGATTTGGAAGTTGCACCTTTTAGCGTCATATAAACCTTAAAATCAGATCGAAATACAAGTTAGAAAGCAGAAATACTTTAATGATTCCAATGTAACCGCATTTTTGTGAGTTCATTAGAACCGAGTGTTCTGCGGACGTACTGTCAATCAGGATGGCTTGTGGACAAACAGTTAAAATACAAAAACTTATTTGCAGGAAGTATATTGGCAAGACAAGTTGAACGGTTACAAAAAATTAAAAAACAATACAATTTAAATTTAACAGTAAATTTGATTAATTTACTGATCAGTATTTGTTCCGGTTTTCGTCCGTTTTTGAGCTAAGAAAAACTCTGCTCTGAGAACAGTCACTTCAAAATAATACATTTTAAATTTTTTATCTAGGTCCTGACAAACTTTAAAGCCTAGTACTTAGGTCGAAAAACGAGTTCGCCAGCGGAAAAACTTAAATTTTCCAGTGTTACAGCATTTTTGAGAGCTCATCAAAAATCTGCTATAATCTCTAAATTACCAAATAATTATCACTAAAGCCTAGTACTCAGATCGACAAACGAGTACGCTAGCGCAAAAACTTTAATCTTTCCAGTGTGACCAACATTTCGAGAGTTCATCAGAATTAAGCGTGCTACGGTCGTTCTGTCAATCAGCTGAGTTTGTTGACAAGCAGTTAAAATTCAAATATCGTATTTGCGGGAAAAAGATAATTTCAACTACCTTGGCAAAACAAGTCTGCCGCTGTACAAAGAAATTAAAAAACAATACAATTTAAATTTAACAGATGTTTTTTTTAGTTTACTGATAATTATTTGCTAATTTTAAGTTCATAGCTTCACTTTTATTGTGTTTTTTCGTACATTCTTGACCTAAAAACATTTTGCTTTGACAAGAGGCACCCCAAATAGTATTAATGTTTTTTTTCCTCACTTGTAAACTCCTGCAATCGACTGTTGCAAGTTTTTTGAGTTTTTCCCTCCATTTCTTAAATTGTTCAGTGAGAAGCGCACGCCAAAAGATAAAATTTTTTATTCTTTTCGCTAGGGTTCACCCAAATTTCATTTCCGCAGACTGGCAACGCAAAATTCCGAGAGTTCATCAGATTTAAGCGTGCTCGGTCGTACTGTCAATCAGCTGGGTTTGTTGACAAGCAGTTAAAATTCAAATATCGTATTTGCGGGAAAGAGTCTTTAAAAGATATTATCAAATACCTTGGCAAGACAAGTCTGCCGCTGTACAAAGAAATTAAAAAACAATACATTTTAAATTGTACAGTTGTTTTTTTTCATTCACTAATAATTATTTTGAACGCCAGCTGTTTTCCTCTCGCTCTCTCTCATGACTGGCGTTATCCACGGGGGGGAAATTAGGTAAATTTCCCCCCCTTGGAACCGCAGAACCTGAAAATTTCACTTGTTTGCTAGAAATCACCGCGATTTCCAGTTTTCGTCTTTTTCAATTTCCCCCCCCAAGAATCGTCTCTGGATCCGCCACTGCTGGCGTACGGGTTTTGTCTATCTGAGTACTAGGCTTTAACACGTTAAAATGTTCATATAACAGGGGTCCGCCCTAATGAACATACATAGGTACTAATGTATGTAGCTGATTAAGAAATATGTACACATATACCGAAGTATGCATGTGAGTTCACACATACATACATATGTACATATATCAATTTAAAAGGCTTTGCCTTTAGGGCCTATACCCTAATTGAGGGCAAAATAATGTCTTTATTAGTAGGATTAGCTACATGCATACACTTGTACACACATACATCATACGACTTTCAGAAAACTTAAGTATAATTTCAATGATTGTCAAATTATTATAATGTTTTTTAGTATAAATGTAAATGTGAACATACACATATAAATATGTATTTATGTATGTCTGAGCTTATGGCGACATAAATCTGAATATACACATTTATGTACATTCATATGTACATATGTATGTTTGTATGAACATTCAACCCAAAACAGTTCCCTTAATTTTGTTTTTGCGGCTGTTTGTCTGCTTTTCCCCTTTTATTTTCTGCTTCAGCGGACAACATAATTCCAAAGGCCAACTCGGCTCAATTTCTTGATAATGATGATGCTTCAATCTGTGCCTGCTCTGTCGCTTAATGGAGAAAGAAACTGGATTTTAAATGAAGGAATGTATGTTTGTATGTACATACGTGTACATACATACGTATATACGTAAACAAACATATACATATATATGTATACATGTATGAAAAAGACGAAAACGTTTTTTCCTTTTGGTTTCGATCCGCTGACTAATTAAGCCTTTAAATTTGTACTGGACCAAGAAACAGGAGAGGAAAATAAAGTCATTGGGCTCCGCTCCACTAAAGATACGTGATAGGAAAACCGGTGGTAAGAAAAATAAAAAAGACAATGTACATATGTATGTATGCATCTGTATTTATGAAGATACATATATATACATGTGTACATACATAATGGATGCACCGTCAAATTTTGTATTTGGGCACTAAGTAAACTTTGTAGTCAAATATAAAAAAACATATCTAAAATATGAAAATGTGTATACAAGAGAATAAGCAAAATATGCACATGCAAATCCATTTCTATTCTTCAAGCAAATATATGTATATACATATGTACATACATACATATGTATGTATGTGGTTAAAACGTTGCACATTTGTTCTTACATGTACACATACATATACATATGTATGTACATACATACATAGGCTTAAGTCGTTACTCCTGCTAAACTAAGAAAGATAACAGAAAAATATTAATGCAGTATTTTAATAGGGAATATTAACATGTTTATTAAACAAAGCGATTTTCTTAATCATAAAAAAAAACAATTATTTAATAAAAACAAAATGTACAGGCTTTTTTTATTCCGCTCATTCTACTTAATTTATTATTTGTAAGTTAACAGCTAATATTTTGTATGTCCTCTTTTCTGGTACAGGACAGCTTTGAGACGATTTCCATGGAAGAAACTAACTTTTTAATGGTTTCCAATGGAATTTTTTGCCATCCTTCCATGAGAACACTTTTCAGGTCGTTTTTGATTGAAATCTTCCTCTTCCTTATAGCGATGTCCATTATTTCCCATACATTTTCGATCACATTTAAATCTGGAGACTGTGCTGGCGTTATGACGACATGAGGCAGTTCCAGACAAGCCAAGTCTTCACAATTGCTGCTGAATGTTTTGGAACGTTATCCTGGTAATACCGAAATCGATCGCGTATGCGAACCTGCAGCAGGTTTTGCTTTAAAATTTGTAAGTACATTTTGGCCATCCTTGATCCTATCAATAAAAACGAGGTTGCCCCGCCAGAAGCTGCCATACAGGCCTAAACCATAACATGACCCTGCCATGCTTGACCGTATCTTTTAGGCTCCAAATGGAATGCAACTTTCTGTAGAACTCCGGCAGTTAATAGTAAAACTGAACTTTAAAGGCAAAACTGTGAGAGAAATTGCTGAATTGGTCGGAAAAAGCAAGTCTACTGTCCATCACATTATCAAGAACCAAACTGGTAAAGATGTTTGCTTGAATACTGCGTAATACTTCGCATAAATAGGATTACCATGACAGAGTTGCCAGGAAAAAGCCTTTTATCAGCCCCAAGAACAAAAAGTGCAGTGTTTAATTTGCAAAGGAATATTTGCTGAAAACAGGAGAGCTCTGGAAGACGGTAATATAATATTTAATAAACTTAGAAATTCATTTTTTAAATTGGTTAATTGAAGGTTCTATTTACCGACGGAAGTAAATTTAATTTACATGGCTCAGACAGAAAGATGTTTGTATAGCGCAAACTAAACTCCGAATTCGAGCCGAAAAACACAAAGGCCACAGTAAAACATGGAGAATGTTCTGTGATGGTTTTGGGGCTGCATGTCTAATGCTGGAGTGGAACAATTTATTTTATATCATTTTTGGCTACCTTAACATTTAAAACAATGTATAGCTTTGTTGTTTACAATTTTCTTGGGACTTGGTGATTTTTAAGTACTATGGAATTACGGACTTAAATTAAAATCGGACATCTACATATGTACATATATCATATAAATCCCATAGGAATATCAAAAAATTAAAACAAATAAAAATGAAAAAAATATGTAGCTTGCTGTTTTTCTATTTATCAAAATATTTCTTTGATATGGTAATTATATTCTATATCAGAATTATGCTCGGACAACAATATCATATACATATGTATGTACATATGTATGTATGTAGCTGCCATAGAAACGATGGCAAAATGCAAAAGCGCAAAGTCGACACAGCTTCATTGTTTTTAGTCATATAGGCATAGAAATCGAAATGTAGTCGTTTTGTAATAACTGCCGAAGTTTGCTTTCTTTCATGTTTGCTTATGTTATTAAAATATAGGAATTTTTAGTTAAATAAAAACAAAAAAAAATCAAATTTATCACGTTTTTTACTGTTTTTGAGGATATTTATCTTAAGAAAATGACTGTCCGATTATAGGATGGAGGCACTGTAAATCATCGTTGTCTAAAGAAATTTTTGGCATAAAATAGGCCAAAGCTCCATAGCAACGATTCATTTATTAAGCAAAGAAGTTTTAAGAGTTATTCATGTCCAATGGCTGTTTACCCTATATAATGCAAACATAAAATTAGCAGACAAAATTTTTGATTCGATCCGGGAGGTAATTATTAGCGGTCCGATTTTTAAAATGTATACATACATATGTACATATGTACATAGGTATCTTTTCAAGGCCACAAAACATTTACCTTTAGACCAAAGAATGTAGGTGACACATAATTGCTGAGATTTGCAGAGAATTGCGCTTCGCCACCATCATAAAATGCTGGTTAAGTTCAAACTCTCTAGAATTTTCAGTTCTTGAGTTTTTTTTGCTTCGTAGCTTAGAAGATACCGCATATTAAAATTATTTCCAGAGGTTCGCAATTCCAAAATATATTCCTTTTTAAATAAACTGTTGATTTGTCCAGGAAGGACTAAAAGGAAATTTAATATTGTAGTTAAAAATAAGAAAAGGACTTTAGTCGAGTTCCCTGAGTTAATCAACATTCTTACAAATTTATATACATATGTACATACATACATGAAATATGTACATACATATGTACATACATACATGAAATATGTACATACATATGTACATACATGTGTTAATATTTTTAATCTGTCAAAAATTGCTTGATCCACGAACTTCTTAGTCAATTATGTTTGAACGTATGATGAAATATACATACATATGTATGTACACAAATGCATATACATATGTAAGTAAGTATTTTATGAGCGTACATATGTATATATATTCATGTGCATTATAAAATATCTGGTTTTGTTGTTTCCGAGAACCGACAAAACGTTTCTCATAAAAAAAGGAATGAGCATAGCCATGTGCGCACATGCACATACATTTACTTCAATACATCTGTAGGAGTACGTGTGATACATTTGTTAGTATATGTTTATGTATATGTATAAAAGTCTGAGAATATGTTCACACAAATGCACATTTAAAATTCATACAAACACCCATGTGAATGTATGTATAAACAACTGCCGCACAGCTTGCTCTTGCTCCTTTCAGAGCGAAAAGACTTGAGTAAGACGTTAAATTACAAAGGGCACATACATATGTACATACATACATACGTACATATAAACGGTATGCGCACAGCAAGAGAGATCGCAGGCCCAATCCTGCTGTGCACTTGCAGGCAAAAAAGATATTTGCCTTGGCCAGTTCCGAACAAACAACTTCTGACTTTTGAAATCGTACTGCTCTAGGATACCAAAAGTTGTCTTGTATTTTACACATCGAATCATGACTGTCCCTATTTTGATCAATTTAAAAACTAGGAGTGCAGGTAAAACATATGTAAGTATTTATCTACATATGTATATTTTGAATAAGGATCGAATGAAAGAATTATGTCAACCCCCAGATCTCCTCAACATTTTTTTTCCGATTGTTTCTATGGGAGCTATATGATATAGTCGCCCGATCCGGCTCGTTCCGACTTACATACATATATGTATACCTACTACATGCAATAGAAAGACAACTTTTAAGAAAGTTTTAAGCAGAAAGCTTTAAAACTGAGGGACTAGTCTGCGTAGAAACGGACAGACGGACGGCTAGATCGACTCTCCTCGTGATGCTGATAAATAATATACATATGTACATATGTATGTATATTTTTTATAGAGTCGGAAATGTCTCCTTCACTTCAATTTGGTGCATTTTTTGGTTTTTTATTTTTATTAAATTATTAATAAAAGATAAATTAATGAAGTCACTTGTATTAAACAGTTAATTAATGATTATATCTAAAAATATTTTTCTTCATTAAAATATCAGCATATAAGATAAAGAACAAGAAAGGAAAGCTAACTTCGGGCGGAGCCGAAGTTGAAATACCCTTGCAGAATATTCTGCAAATTATATTCTCCAAAAATATTCATATGATGCATTCTTAATACTCATACAAAATCCCAACTTCCTAACTTTAAAAACACCAAAGTTATGGCATTTCCAATCGTTCAGTTATGTATATGGCAACTATAGAATATAGTCGGCCGATCCTTATGAAATTTGATATGTCCGATTGATTGGGCAAAAATAAAACCCATAGAAAATCCCAACTTCCTAACTTTACTAACACCAAAGTTATGGCATTTCCGATCAATCAGTTATATGGCAGCTATAAGATATAGTCGGCCGATCCTTATGAAATTTGGTAGGTCGGATAAATTGGCCAAATATAAAACCCATAGAAAATCCCAACTTCCTAACTTAACAAACAGCAGAGTTATGGCATTTCTGATCAATCAGTTATATGGCAGCTATAGGATATAGTCGGCCGATCCCGGCCGTTCCGACTTATATACTGCGTGCAAAGGAAAGAAGGGTGTGTGCAAAGTTTCAATTTGATATCTTTAAAACTGAGAGACTAGTTCGCGTAGAAACAGACAGACGGACAGACAGACGGACATGGCTATATCAACTCAGGAGGTGATCCTGATCAAGAATATATATACTTTATAGGGTCGGAGATGTCTCCTTCACTGCGTTGCACACTTTTGACCAAAATTATAATTCCCTCTGCAAGGGTATAAAAATAGCCTTTAAGTTCAACATGCGTCACTGTATGTGCATACATTCACATACATATATTTTATGCAATTGTTAATTTACCCACATTCGCCAGTTATTAAGGACAGTTTAACATTTAATCTTATTAACATTTAAAACAATACTCCATCATTACTTTCCTGTAAAAGCTGAGTGGGTAAAATCCGAAACGGATCCGCACTTCATCCGTACTCAAATGTATACATACATATGTATGTATGTATATGTTTAATCAAATATTTTGTTATGCCAACTTAGCACATCGTAGAATATTTCGAAATCTTTTCAATTAAGATCCGTTTTTCCGAAACCTTAAATAAGTCACCCAATACATGTATATACATATGTAGGTATATCATAGCTGTTTACAGATTTATCCGGATTTAAAAATAAAATCATATGTTCTGTAAGTGTATTAACAAAAATAAAAAATTTTAAAAAGGAAAAAAAGTTTTGGATACTTCTTGTTTGCTTGAACAAGTTAAAAGAATTTAAAACCCTTTGTTCAATCAGGAGATTTTTAATTGATTTTTTAAGAGTATTATCTATAAATTTTTAACTAATTGTTCTAAACACCTTTTATAAACATCCTATATACAGTGTTTATTTTTATTGCATATTCCCATAAAACGGTTTTCGATACACCGACTATGACATGTTGTGTGAGTCCCCTTTAGTACCGTTCATCACCTTTTCATCGGTGAATCATAAGCAAAAATAAACATCACTTGTTATGATTGATAAATTTCTATACAACTTTGTGGTCAATTTAACTTTTACAACTTGATGAACTAATCTATAAAAAATGAATCACCTGTTTATTTTTGGGAAAAAGAGAGGAAGCAAAGTAGATATAGTTATGGTTTGCGTTTGCTACAATAATCGATTGCGAGCGACGGCTCCGCCAGCATTGTAGCCGGCAGACTGATGAAATAGTGATGAATTTCAGCAGAAGTGACTTTCGGAATTAATAGATTTCTGTAAAGGAGAGAGCCCTCTTTAGATGCTTAAAAAATCGAATTTATTTATTTGCATAAATGTCTACCCAAAGTATCCAATAACACATGCATGGTCGAAGCGGCTTGCCGAAATGCTTGTACCAGGCATAATATTGCATATATTTTAATGAAACAATTTCAGAAGTCTGTTGACAAATAAAACCTAAAACCTTCGTTTTAATTGAATATTTCCGTTCTTCCCAGAAAGTCTTTGGAAAAATCGATTTTTTGAAGCTTCTAAAGCAGGCTCCCCCCTTAAGTTAAAAAAAGCATACCATTTATGTATCTACCTAATTATATTCTTCATTATTTTGACTATTTTTCTTGAAGGTAATTTTTTATACCCTTGCAGAGGGTATTATAAAGCTTGCCGAAGATTGCTTCCTTACTTGTTGGTTAATAAGAGCACATTGTGATACCCATGTGCCATAGAATTTGTTTGAGAAAATTGTCATTATTAATTATTATTTATTTGCATGGAAGAGAGATAAATAATACCAAAACTCCAAATGAATCATTAGAATTCCAGGATTCGCTCGAAAAAATCCGATTGCCAATTGGCCTAAAAGAAGCATTTTTTGGCGTAACAAAAACAGTTAGTTACAACACAGCTTTATTTTGATAGACAAAACGAATGTTTTATATGTTCCCATTTGATTTTACTTCTTAAGTTAAGCTACGTTCAAATATATTAGTATTAAGAAATATTTCATAACAAAATAAAAGGTGTGTGCAGCATTTTTTGTAAGGCCTCTCTTTTGTACCCTATAATTTAAATATTTCGAAAATCTTTCTGAAATTTCTATTAGGTTATGGTATATATGATGGTATATATAATCGTCCCATTCTATGCAAAAGTAAAACAGTAATTTTAAAGTCGTTAAAATACTA